CCACTGAACGGGCAATGCCACTGTCAGATACCAGAGCACTTGCTTAAGTGGCACTACAGACAAATTTTGGCTGGTGGCAGGAGAGATGGCTGAAAGCCAGCTGACAGAGAAGAGCAGTATCAATCTCTGCGCTGAGGGAATCCTCTGAAAATGCTACTGAAGCAAACAGCAACTGCTAGCGGCACAGTGGCAAACAAGACACCTCTCCTCTCATGGAGGAGAGGAAAAGGCAAACGGCTGAACTGAAGTGATCAACATGAACTTGAACTGTGGCACAGAGCAAACATGTGGCATGCCGTATGGAAACTCAGAACAAAACAGAAAGCTTGGAACAAAATGAAATTAAAAATCTGCTTTTATTTCAAATTACTCCACTAAACATCTAACTGAAAATTGTGTTGAAGTTGATACGACTTCGTGACATGTTGTTCCTTGAAGGCTGCCATTTTCCATCAAAAAAAAAAGGTATGAAAAACGTTTCAATCTGGTTACCTTCTATCCAGCAAGGCTAGAAAACATTAAATTGTGAGCTAAAAAATAACATCACACCATTAGTCAGCAAGAGATAGCTGTTCAGCTAGCATCTATCATAATATTTTCAATAATCCATAGATACCAAATGCCTGGAAAGGAAGGATAGCAATCACTCTAAGCATACATTTTGAACTTTAAATGCATTTGATAAGTTAATTTTTTTAAAGACAGGCCCTGTGCAGCCTCATTTTGCTCACTGTTTCTAGATATAACCTATCTCAAAAAGGGTGATCAAATGTCCATCTCCAAAACAAATGAGTCTGGAGCATTAGGGCATTCTTTATTCTGAGGAGTCATCTGTTGAACAGCCTCACTCTGAAGCATCCCTATAAAAGCACCTGAAAGTACCTAAGCTGTCAAATCTAGAGTTTATTGGATGAACGTATTTTAAGAAAGAAATTAAATTCTTTCTGTATAAGTTTTAATAAGTATTGGAATAAAATCAGATTGAGAAGAATCAAGAGGAGTGTAGTGGTTTGAACCTTGTTCTCCCCAGAGGCTAAGAGAAGTGGTAGACCCCAAGGGGTGGAAACCCCTGGAAGTTTTGAAATTCTGCCCAATGGGCGCTCCTGCAGAAATGTAAACATATCACAACCAGACCGGAAAAGAAGAGTTGTAGTTTTGGTTGTTGGGAGAGGTGGCCATGTTGTAGAGCCACGAGGTAGGGGCTCTGAGCCCCTTGGGGCCTCTGGCCCCCTCCCAGCCCCTGGCTGGGGGCTGCAGGGACCTGGAACAGCATAAAGCTGGGCTAGGTGCCTGTAGTTATGCCGGGAGATGTTTTCTCCATGGGCGCAGAGCAGCAGCCGACGCTGACCAGAGAAACTGGCAGAGAGCCAGAGATAAGACCTGAACTGAAGGAGCAGCAGGGCAACATGCAGCACCAGAGAAAGGACTCCTGGAAGGAGAGCCGAGGAAAGGAGAGCCAGCAACTGAGAGCTACAGAGTTCTTCGGGGTAAGACTGTACCACACTCCCCCAAAACTCCCTTGAGATCCCTCTTGGAGAAGAGGGACATGGACTCCTATTTTGGAGAGCAGTTTTAGACATGCAGCACCGGAGAGAGAGGAGCTGAGAAGCTCGGAGCTCCCGCAGCTGGACCGGGACGGCCAGATGGAAGCGACCTTGGCTTCCCCCCCTTGCACTGCTGCCACGGTGGCAGCCTGAGAGACAGGGCACAGAGGCCCTGCAAGGAGCTTGAATCTCCTGGAGATACCAGACCGTCACGAAGACCCCCCTGTGTCTCGTGATATGACGTGGTGAAACGACCTTGTCTGGGGTTACGAAGTCCACGAAAGACCCCTCGGTTGTGAGGCGATGGGGCCGGGGGAGCTTGAATACCTCCCTCGTGGATGCTGGCAGAAAGCCAGCTATCAGCTGCTACATGCATGAGAAGAAGAAACCTGCTGCCTCAGAAGATGCTGCTGTTTAAAGACTGGAAGGGATCTGTCCTTCTTTCCCTCCTGGACTTTTATTTGGAGGAGAGAAGAGATCTGATCCATTGTAAATACATATGTCATGGTAGAGATAGTTATGATCATGTGTATAATGTGATATGGTATTTATTTGTACAGTCATTGTAATATATTCCCTTTTCCCCACTTTGAGTCTGGTGTGTTTTGTCTGGAAAAACCCATCTCGCATTAGGTTGAGATATGGGAGGGGGGATGGAGCTAGGGAATTGGATGTTGGGGCTATCTCAAACCATGACAAGGAGTTAAAATGAAGAATCTAGAGCATCTTTCCTATGAGAAAAGGCTGTGAGATCTGGAGCTGTTTACCCAGGAGATGACTAGGCTCAAGGGGGACCTCATCAATGTATATAAATACCTGAAGGGAGGACAGAGCCAGACTCTTCTCAGTGGTGCCCTGTCACAGGACTAGAGTCAATGGGCACAAACAGAAACACATTAAAAAAAACCCTTTTACTCTGAGGATGGTTAAACATAGGAAGAGAGGTTGTGGAGTTTCCATCTTTGGAGATACTTGACAGCCATCTGAACTCTGTTCTGGACAATCAGCTCTTTGTGTCTCTGCTTGAGCAGGGTGGTTGGATGAAATGATCTCCTTTGGTCCTCGCCAACCTTGTGATAAACGGATGAATTATTTCCAGTTACGCAAAACTATATAAGAACAAAAAACCAAGAAGTAATGGCAAAAAAACTGAAATATTTCCATCTTTGTCAGGGCAATATTGGACCATATTTGTCAATAGTACACCTATTTGTCCTATAATACACCTAAAGGCATAATGAGACTAGAGGGATCACTCCATCAAGCTCAGCTACCAAGCCTAAAGCTAGCTCAAAATGCTTATACATAAAACTCACACACCTGTAACATTAAAGTATAAAACAGTATCCATAATTTTAAAACTCTTCCTCTCACATTCATTAAGTTCAGAGAAATAATTTCCATTGGCAAACTCTATAGCTGTATCAGTGAATGACCAGAGTGGGAGCTGAAACAACCATCAGCAGAGGACAGGCAGAGGACAGTCTATTTTAGTTCTTGCTCTCTGTCCTCTACGGTATACTACAATCACAGAAACACCTACTAAGTTATGTGGTTTATTTGCCTACCAGCATGAGATTCTTCCCCTTGATAATTTTTAACACTTGCTTTTGCCAAGTTAAGAGCAATGTGTCGCATCTAAACAAAATTAGCTTATTATGAGCCCCCACTGTATTTTGCAGTACCCAATGGATCACGATGCTGCATTGTATAACAGGGAAGGTGCCAAATTGTTCAGACAACACGCCAGGCCAAAACTGTTGAGTCAGCAACATAACAGGGTCCCTCTGAGTGCTTGGTCCCAATACAATTACTCTTAGCCCCTTGCTAAAGCACAGTGTCCTCTCCCCTGCTCAAGGCACATCTGATCAGTCCTGGCACCTCACAGGTGTGACATGTCCAACCACTGTGCCACATGGTAGCAATTCGCAAGAAACAGACTACATTGTGGAAGAGCAGGAGGTAATTATTTGACTCTCAGATGCAACTTTACATCCTCCGGGTCTCTCCAGTGATCCCACTGATCACCAGACTCTGCCACCCTACAGAGGACTTCAATAAACAACTCTAACCATGGTCACCTGAAAGCATTCACAAGAAAAAAAAAAAAAAGCAACCCTAAAGGAGATGGCTGAAAAAGAAGTGACTGCGATGAAACGGACATGGAGAAAATGTCAGAGAGCTGATACAATCATCCTCTTTCAAATGACCCAGTTACACAGGACGAGTTGTCCCAAAGACGAGCTGCAGGGCTCCCATTTCTCACCAAACCCATTTGGGTGAAACACTTGTGGTGTCATCTACTGGGTAACAGTTTCCTTGCAAGGTTTTCTACAAAAATCTAAATCGCACAAAAGCAGAGAGCTCATCTATTGAAACATTTTTCCATTTTATCTGCACTCAAAAGCTTTCAGCCATGTTTCTAAGTATCTCAGAGAATAAGCCAAGAAGTCAGCCACACAAACTGCCCAAGATTAAGAAACATAGACCATTTCACAGTTATCTAAAACAAATAAAATACAAAATAATCCCTTACTTTCAACTTCACAGGAAGTTGAAAAGACCACTAAAAGAGTTATATTAAAATAATGAGGCAACATTAAAAAAATTGAGACATGATAAAAATAAAATTATTCACATAACCCTAGCTCATTCACCATAAGAATGTACATTGTAAACAACTTTTTTTTTCCCAGACACTTGCTATTTTCTGCATATTTAAACACAGATGTGTGTGCTTAGCAACTGTAAAACAAAGTAATTTACTTAAATAACTGAGTATAGACAAAGGCACTTCATTTTATATATGTACTTTTTAAATACAGTGACTGCTTTATAATATTATTTAACACGTAGAGACAGAATCCTCATGTATGGATTTCAGAAATAAGTCACCTTTGCATTTAAGCAAAGAAATAGGGATTTGAGCCTGCTATGTAAGTATCTATATGAGCGTACACGTGCGCATGTGCGTACTCTGTATACATGTTACCTACATATGCAACAAGTAAGGACAGAAAAAGACATAAGGAAAGAAATTATTAACATGTTTAAAGTATTCCATTAATGTGAGAATAAATGCAGTTATACAATGTAAAGGTCTGTGTCATTCAGTGTTTCAAAAATTGTTATGAATGAGGAAGAGCATTTTGTTACAAATGCCCATATCTGAAATTAGAGACAATCAGGAAAATAAGGAAAGTTCCTACAGTTCAGAAACATTGTGAAGCCACTTCACTGCAGTATTTCACTAGTATTTCCAAACACAGAGCATGAACTTGATCAAGTTACTCAAAACACTGCCTTCATAAAAGGTTTTACTGAATGAATCAGTCAACAGCATTTGCAAAATTAAGTTTCTGAAGAGGAGTAATACATTTTGTTAAACTAGCTGGTCTGACTGGAAAAAAAAAAAGTTTTTTTTAAAGCAGACAAACTTTTCTTTTGAACTCTTACCTATCTGTTTCCTGTACTGGTCAACAGGAGTCCTTGATGTAGAGGCATCTTTTCTACCCATTGTTTTCAATCCAAAAAATCACTGCATTAGAAAAAACAACAACAACAAAAAAACCACAAAAGCACAACATTATTCCTAAATAAATTACTAAGAAAATCTATTACTTATAATATCAGAAAAAATGGTAACAAGCAACATTTACATGATTATACACAAAGACATAAGCCTTCCCAGAGTACAATGAGACATTGGAGTTAATCATCACTATTCTGAAGACTATTAGATACATTCTAAACATACCTTTTTCTCCATTGCATGGGTTATTAACATTACATAATGCCTGTTAGTTTGAATAAAAATAAAGAAAAAAGAAAGGATTTAAACTGATTGCACTGTAATTCCGCATTTGGTACCACTGAATTACATTCCTATATAATTTGTTTCTTTAGTAAACCAGGGAGTGAATGCAGTATTGAGAGTTGTTTCCATTATTGGCAAACATATTGGCACTACACACAGGAGTCAGAGGCAGGACTAGCCATGTGTGCGCCCACAGATGTAATTGCTCGGGAAACCCACCTGCAGACACATCCCTCCAGCCACCTTGAGCAAAAGGGAGGAACAGATACCTAAAACACAGCAACCCCACACTCTCCTACCTTCCTGCCATGGCGTCTAGATATCTGTGAATCAAAAGAAAGTGGAGAACAAAAACTGAGAGCTGGGTCTGTGTCCATTTTACACCTCTCAGCCATGGTATTGATAGTTTAAATCATCTTCAGTGCATTTACATAACAACCATCCCAGCTCCTGAATGGGCTTCTCACGTATTGCACAGTGCAAGCAGGTGACACTAGGATTGCACAGAGAAGTGTACTCTGATCCATCCAAAGATGCTCTTTTTGGTACATGGTGCTCCCACACCACCCATGTATCTGAAAAAGCATCATCTGAATAGTGTTCTAGCAAATTTCCAATGTACCTTATAACATGCAAAACCTTATGGTCTTGTATTCATCCCCTCACAAGGTTGCCACTCAAAGGATACAGAAAGATCCTACAAACACGCTAATTTCACCTCTTTTTCCCTAATTAAGAAATAACTGGCTTATTGCTCAAAACACTGAGACTGAACCAGTTTGACTGGGCTGAAGACATTATGCACCACAGTGATGATGAGCCCCACCATCTGACTGCCTCTATGACACAAAAGTCCCAACATCAACGCCTGCACTCACGAGAGGACTGACATCTTCCAAAAGTGTCAGATTTGTAGTTCAAGCACTAAAGACGCACAGCAGCCAACCCCTGCCTTTTCCCAACCAGCCTTGGCGAGCACAATGCAAAGGGCAAACTTTGGCTGAATCACCCTGGATAGCCATAAACCATCTGCAGACTGTGCACATATGGCCTTAGAGTATCTGCAAGAGTTGTACTTTTCTGTTAGGCATAACCAGCCGTGTTACAGCAAGACAAGCTTCCCTAGTCTCTGCCAAGGCACGCTGTCTGGGAAGTGCAGCCCTTGAAGGTACTGAGATGCCAAATCATGAACCAAAAAGCATGCCACAGCACTGCTGAATAGGCTACTGTCAGCATCCCAAGCTTAAACATTCATCGTTATCTCCTTCATAGCTTCAAAAAAGGTTTAAAATATAGCTGCAGAAATGATTCGCCCAGTTATTTGTGCATTTTAAAACCACAAAGTTTATTATTTTGTATTTATCTATTCTATAGTAACTATTAGAATTTAATGAAAAGCAACAAATCCAGGCTCCTTAATTTCACATGTGGGACACAGGGCATAGAATTAACTTAGATGCTCCAAAGTCAGCAACCATTTTAAATGTATTCAGGAATAATAGCAAGGTACAGAAGACTGCTACTATTTTTTATTCTGAACTGAAAATTCAATTATAGTGTTCTAATGTTTCCATACATTACTTTCGTCGAATTCAGAGAATACTCCCTGTTTTATGTAAAACACATAAGCGGTGAACTGTAATCCACTGGGTTGGGTTTTTTTTCCTTCTATTACACTTCCCAGAAATTCTCTAGACTGAGCCGCATTTTGCACATAACGTTCACATCATAATAATTAATAAAAGAACTATTTGAACTTTCAGCTAATTGAGGAGACAACAGATACATTTTTACACTGTAAAACTAGTTCTTGGCCTTTTTACACCACTGTTAGAGACTGTTTTGACTTGCCTTTTGCAATTTCAATAGTTACTAATGTTTTGTAACAAAACATCAGCTGTGAAAGACGTTTGCAGTTTTAGTAATGCCAATAAAACACAAGAAGAAAACACAGGCAAAAATTATTTCTTAATGACTTATTTCTTTATGACTTAATATGAGCCACAGAGATACTCGCATTTGTCTACATGGATCAGTGTCACCGACTCCCACATTTAGAACCTCAACTCTTTGTTCTTCAAAGGGATGCAGTAATCATCATTCATTTCCACTGCTTTGATGGTTAGATAGCAAAGGCCCGAGAAACCCATGGAGACATTGGCACATGCAGCCCGATGTCTAATAAGACAGCTATTTGCATAAAAGATCAGCCACAATTTAGAACGTGTTGTGATAGATGTGGAAAGGGAATAACGGATCTATATTAGTATGTACAAAACTGAGATTGTTTTCACAATTTAATTCCTTGGGGACTATGGCTCATCACCTTCTCTTGTAAAGAATCCCGTATTCCCTGAGGAAGCAACTTGCCATGAGCCAGACTTAAGCTAAAATATGGATTAATAAGAGGCAATATTTATTATTTATGAACCTTGCTGTAGGAGTGGTTTTCAATGTAACATTCTGACCATTTTTACATAAAGGAAAAGCCTGAAACCTTTATGAGTCACAAAACTAATTCTCCCCATTTAAAATAACAGTGGTCACTCTAGAATAATAGGTCATCTTCACTGTAAATGAGATTTGCACTCGAGTCTCTGGCCATTTTGCTATCTCTGACGTCAGCAAGGGGAGGATCTGGCTTCTCCTGAATTTCTTCACCAACCAAAGGGATAGGCAGCCTGCCATGCTGCATGCATCCCAAGCAGCCTTCAACTCCCTGAAATTTTAATGACTACATAACAATTTTAAAAAACACATAAGGAGCTTGCCACTGCTCCTTTTACTGGCAACTAAAAATACTTCAAGAGTAATTTCAGACAATATGAAGGCAACGTGAGCTGTCCTCAACTTTCAAGCTTTTATATAAGATGGTTTTAAGAAAATAAAGTGAGGCCCAAACGAATGATTTTTTTATTTCTGGCTTCAGAGATACTACGAGATTAAAAGACATCTTTGTTTTTGTGGTACCCTTCACTGTTTTTTCACCCCCTTTCACTTCCCCTCTAGGAATTCACCTTTAAAGGTTTATACTCTCAGGGAAACACGTGATTTTATTTTTGTCTTCTTTTATTCCTAAGTAGTGGTTGAAAATAATTAAAACACATAATAGCTTGCCTACTATCACCTTCAACTACCAGTAGTATTTTGTGAGATAAAAACTAATTTTGAATGTCCATTCAAGGTCTGGCTACAGGAGTGTTTGAATCCCAGCTCACTATTCTTGATATATACATAGTATTTTGTACATCAACAAAAAAAAAAAAAAAAAGAAAATGAAGAAGCATTTCTTTAATGAAATAGAAAACTTATAATGAATGATTGTAAAAACACTAATAAAAATAAGAATAGGAACTATATAGCACAAAGATTGCATTTTGAACATCATTGGTGCAATACAAATGATTAATAACAGTGATAAAGCTTAAAATGTGAACCAGTGAACACTCAAAAGACATACATATGTTCATGCACACAAACTTTCTTAGCAGTGATATTTGATAGTATTGTCTGTATTCTTCAACAGTAAGTTACCTAACAGAGGGCACGTAAAAGAAATAATCAATGAAATGACTGGTTCTGTAGCTGAAGTATTACTAGTCAGTGAGAGAAAAGCAAGTAAAACTTCGGGATAGAAAAGAACCACTACAAATGTAACACTATTGTACCAAGTCTTCAGCATCTCTATATGTGCTCATCCTTAATTGCAAATAGCTATCTACCTTAAAAATAATTCCTTTTTTGTTTGTTTTTGGTATACTGCTGAAGTACAGTAGTTAAGGTCTATCAGTATAGCACTGGAAGAAGCCTGCAACTAGAACTGCAAGAACAATGCAGTTGAATTCTTCAACCATACTTCAACCAAGAGAAAGAATTTAGAAATCTTTACCACCACTACTTAAAATAACCTTGCACAAATAAAAAAACTGGAAAATAAAATAAATTCATGTTTTATTGATAAGTCTTACAGCAGTCTTCACCATTCCTCTGGAAAGTCTCTTTCAAAGGATGAGACTATTATTTCAAAGGAAAGAGTACCCTGCCCATGTTGCCTCTTGCAGAATCTACTTTTGCTTTATTTTGGGATTTATTTATTTTTCTTTTAATAAAAGGAATTTAACATTTATTAATTTAATCTGGAAAGCAGCAGAGGTGATTTAAATTCAATTAAATTTGGGAAAATTAATCAAAAAATCAGGATCCATAACTCCAGCTGGAACAGATATTAAAATAATCTTAACTTTCTACACAAGGACAACAAACGCTGTACCACATCCCAAGATTCAAATCACAAAGGAACTATAACTTTTATTCTGATATATATCAGGCTGTTTCACAGCTTCACGTAAGCATTAGGAACAAAACATATATTGTCACTTCCACTAAGTGCCCTTTGCACTCTAGGGAAAGCAGCTCGCTCTGTTGTTTGATAGCTATACAGTACCTACAAACCCCATGAAATTAGCTCTGCACTTTTTTAACGAAAGTAATACACAGGTTCATATGAATTTTCAGTGTATTCTCCTGAATGTTTCAAAATCTTAAGGCAATATATTATGAAAAATAAATTTCATCAACAGCCCTGATTAGTTCCACTAAATTTCAGGAACATGAGACACACAGGTTATACAGGAGGCCACCTCTGCTCCCTTTATAATGGCTGAAGAAAGATATGTAATGGTAAGGAATGCAAATCACCTCCGGCAATATTGCTTTCTTGT